GCCCAAAATACTACAGCAGCCATTTAAACTGTGGGGAGAGCCACACTCCTTAGAGGGAGCATGGATAAATGCACCATTATTTGACACATATTTATACAGAAGTATATAGAAACTAATGTTCCTACCTTATATTTACGTAACACGTTATTCCCAGTCACTCTTCTCCACCAATACATTTGGAGGAGAGACATTCTTTTTTTGTCTCATGTAGCCCAGACTGGTCTCAAACTCACTGTGTAGCTGAGGCTAGCTTTGAATTGATCTTTCTGCCTCTGTCACCCAAGTGCTGTAATTACAAGTGTGTGCCACCAACACATCTCAGTCCAACAATTTGGTGAAGCAAGCAAAAACCGATATTATTCCTATTTTGTGGATGAGGAAGACAGGCTCAGAGACTTTCCCAGGGACTCAAATCCAAGTCTCTAAGCAGGCATTGCTAAGGCCCATGCTCGTTCCTCTTCAACAGTCCCGGGGAAGAATTCAGGGAACCCTTCATGAGCCTCCGCAGTAGACAGAGAAAACACATAAACTCTCACACTGGGCAGTTCCCTGGCCAGTTGCTGCAAAATGCTCAAGACAAAAGGGCAGGCCAAGAAAAGGGGGGAAACACTAGGCACGGCAATGTGAGCCTTTAATCCCGGATCTGGGCATATCTGTGAGGTCAAGCCCATCCTGGAGAATCTATGAGATCCTGTCTCCAAACAAGCAGCATTACTAAGGTAAGTGTAAGGACTTCTGCCTATCAAAAATGACTTCCCAAACCGGGCAGTGGTGACGGACGCACACCTTTAATCTCAACACTCAGGAGGCAGAGGCAGATGGATCTCTGTGAGTTCGAAGCCAGTGTGGTCTACAGAACGAGTTCCAGGACAGGCTCCAAAGCTATAGAGAAACCCTGTCTCAAAATTAATTAATTAATTTAAAAAAAAAAAAAGACTTCCCGTACACCCACTTCTGCCTGGCAGGAACCTCAGCCTGTCGTCATTCCTGTCATTGCAAAGCTCAAAAAAGCCGCTCTGGGGTGGAGAGACGGCTCAGAGGTTAAGAGCATTGACTGCTTTTCCAGAGGTCCTGAGTTCAATTCCCAGCAACCACATGGTGGCTCACAGCCATCTATAATGAGATCTGGTGCCCTCTTCAGACATGGAAGAAATGTTGTATACATAATAAACAAACAAACAAATAAATAAATAAATCTTTCTTTTAAGCCTCGCCCCCATTTTTCTAGGGCTAAAAGAAAGTGGGGTGGAAGAGCTGAGTCAGAACTAATTTCTTAAAGATGGAGGACAGCAAACACGGAAGCAGGTGGTGTTGGGAGGGGAGAGGAGGGTGTTGGGCGCTGAGTCTGGAGGTGTACGGGGTTCAGGAGCTCATCTAGACTCAGTGCACCCAGGGACAGGCTCATAGAAACAGGCTAAGCGACAGTAAGGACCCGCTGAGCGAAGGTCGACCTGAGCGGAGAGGGTGAGGAAGCGGGCTGCAGGGGAGACCAAAGGTGGGGGCAGCAATGGCCGCTGCAGCCGAGACAGAGGGGCGAGCCTAGGGGAAGCGTGTGGGGTTTGGGTTTCCTTTCAGGAAAGCCTAGTTCAGAGAAATCGGTTTGCTGAGAGGGGTGAGGGAAATGGCAGCGCCAGATCCACGGGGGAGGATTTAGGTCGCACCGACACGCCGGGCTCCGGCAGCAGCTCCAGTGCGCAGGCCAGGCAGACATGAGGGGACACGGGCAGCAGCCAGCGCGGATCGTGCCGGTGATGGGTCCTCTCGAGGAGCAGCACCGCTTCTTCATTTCTCCCAAACGCTGGATGGTCAGCAGCCGTCATCTGCACCACAGCCGCCTCCAGGCTCGGGCTCTGCAGCAAGTTTTCCCGCGCAGCTTTTGCGCAAGCGCACTTGGAAGCGCGAACCGCACACGTGTACGTGCTCGTGTCTCCTGTGCGTCGATGCTGCAGTCAGCGCCAGCGAGCAGCCGATGCAAGGGCGGGTTATGTAGGCAAGGACTGGATTGTATGCAACGAAACCCGAAAGGACTGCCTAGACCTCGGCAGGAAGTGATGCTCAGTACATTGAAAGTTGAAAAGTATAAAATAGCTATCAGACTTTAAAGAAAGGAAAGAAAATTGATTTCTGCTATTATTTACTTGGGTTTGTTTATTTTAGATTTAATTTTACGTATGAGTGTTTGCCTGTGTGTATGTATGTGCACTACGTGAATGCCTGGAGCCTGCTTAGGTCAGAAGGAGGATCCGCTGGAGCTGGAGTTAAGGAGGCTCGCGAGCCACCATTTGAATGTCGGCAACCTAAACCAGGTCCTCTGCAAAAACAAGTACTCTTAATCCCTGAGCCTTCTCTCCAGCCTGCTTTTTGTTTGTTTGATTTTGTTTTGTTGAGTTTCACCCTCACGTAGTTCAGGCTGGTCTCAAAAATAAAATGCAGCGGAGGATGACTTTAAATTCCTGATTCTTCTGAGACTGAGACGGGAGAACTGCTCCATCATTTCCGCTGTACCCCACTGCTGGGAGTCAGCAGTGTCAACTCACACTCAAGAAGAGGGGCTTTCACACGGCATGGGCAACAGGACTCCAGGTTTCAACCCTCCTGCCTTCCTCCCCCCACTCGTTAAAGACAGGGTCAACTTGTCACACAGTAACTAAGCCACAAGTTCTGTCGTAGTTTGGGTTTCTATTGCTGTGAAGAGACACCCATAATCATGGCAACTCCTATAAAGGAAAAGCATTTAATTGGGGTGGCTTACATTTTCAGAGGTTTAGTTTGAAGAAAACATGTTTTTGCGAACTAGAGAAAACATGTTTTTGTGAACTAGTCGTGACCCCACCCTGCCTGTTGACTAAAATGTTTTCCTTGTTTTCCAACAGCCTGCGGGTGCTTCCCTGTCCTTCCCCTGACCCAGCAACCACCCCTCCAGCCTTTGACATAACCAATCAGAGTAAATGCCTTTAAAATGAGCCAATCCCTGCGTTTGACAAACAACCCACTGTACCTCCTCCCTGAATATGTGGTTTTTTGCTTTTAAAAGTAGCCTGGAATAGCTAGTCGGGGCTTCTCTCCCTCACCTGGCTAAGGAGCCCGTTTGCGCAAACGAGAATAAACTTCCTCTTGCTTTTGCATCAACCGGACTAGTGAGTGGTTTCTTGGAGCGACCCTCCTGAGGAGTTAGCATCCTCCTGAGGAGTTGGGGTCTAACAAGTTCAGTATCATCACGGTGGGTCATGGTGCTGGGCAGGCAGACATTGTGCTGGAGAAGTGGCAGAGTGTCCTACTACATCTTAAAGGAAGCAGTCTGAAACACTGGTGTGGCCTCAGCATATGTGAGACCTGAAGGATCACCCCCAAAGTGACATACTTCCTCCAACAGGGCCACACTCATAACAGTATCACTCCCTGTGAGTTTATGGGGTCAGTTACATTCAAACTACCACAAGCTGCCTCTCCTCGCTTTGTGTATTTGTTTTACAGAACTTCTTGACTCCAGCTTAGGCTGCCATATTGAAATTACCTGATGCGAGTGAGAAGGAAACATGGAACACACAACAAATCCGCTTAGGAGTTTATTAGAAGGGGTGTGTATATGCCTGGGGAAGTCAGTGTGCAGGGAGAGAGAAAGAGAGAGAAAGATAGCACTTCCAGCTTTTTTGTTTTGGTTTGGTTTGGTTTGGTTTTTCAAGACAGGGTTTCTCTGTAACTTTGGAGTCTGTCCTGAAACTAGCTCTTGTAGACCAGGTTGGCCTTGAACTCACAGAGATCCACCTGCCTCTGCCTCCCAATTGCTAGGATTAAAGGCATGCTCTACCACCACCCAGCATTTTTTTCCCCACTTTTTTTTGTTTTTTGTTTTTTGTTTTTTTCCTAGACAAGGTTTCTTTGTAGCTTTGGTGCCTGTTCTGGAACTAGCTCTTGTAGACTAGGTTGGCCTCAAACTCACAGAGATCTGCCTCTGCCTCCCAAGTGCTAGGATTAAAGGCATGCGCCACCACCACCTGGCTATTCCCCACCTTTAAGTTGGAGGTGCGTCCAACTTTTAAAAGCTGCTTAGCACATGAGCACGGGGGTTGGCATGGCTATGGCATGTGCAAGTGACAGGGCTCACGCATGTGTGCAAGGACTTAGCTGAGTCATACATGGATGATGTAACCACGCATATGTGCGAGGGCTTAGCTGAGTCATACATGAATGATGTAATCCACGCCGCACGTGGGTCATGCGGGGCCCTTTAACATACCTGGGGGGCCATTAGGCACTTCTCTCTGAGGGCTTGTCTACACATGTATGGCTCCTAGAACCCAGAAGTATCAGTCTTATTGTGTCTGAAATCATAACACATATACTCCTGAGCATGGGGCCATCCATTTGAGTATAGTTGACCTACCAAGAGCTACACCTTAAAGAAAACTGACTCTCCCCTTTCACAGAGACCATCAAGTCTGCAGGGCTTCCCAGGAGTGGAGGCTTCTTCACTCCTTCCCGCTCCATGCTAGGATGCTGACTGGCTTGATCTTGCAAAAGTCTTGTGCAGGCGATCACAGCTGCTGTGAGTTTATGAGTGGAGCAGTTCTGCCAGGTCCAGAAGACATGGTTTCTCTCTGGCCCTCTTTTGTTGCCTTTTACCATCTTTCTGTCCCCTCTTCCTCAATGGTTTCTCAGCCTTGACAGGACTTCAAAGGGGTCTGAATAATAATGTCTCATGCAGAGGACGACCCCACCTCCAAACAACCGGGGCTGAGTACCCTGCTTCGATCAGGATTAGTTGGGAATGGGGCAAGACAAAGCCATGATACATTCTCAATGGACTCTACCATGAGGAGCTAGGAACATGGGGGAAGGGCTAAGAAGGTTAGGGCTGGTAGTAGATGATACTGGATTGTCCTGCACTCTGCTAGCCCTCAAAACTGCAGGGTAGAAGTGGAATGCTGACCCTAAAGAACCCCAAATCCCAAAAGAGAACAGTCGGACAATACACCAAAGCATCTGCAGCCCTACAGAATCCAAATAACCAATTTATTAGAGGCCTTGGGACTAAGCAGATCACTCTCATGACATTTCGGGCACGCCCTAAGGACTTCAGCCCGTGGCCTACTTTTTAAGACCACAGTGTCTGAGAAAATATCTCAAGTGCCTCATAAAACCAAACTTTTGTGAAACTGCTGAATTTGGGGGTGCCCCATTTGGGTTCCCAGGCGTCTCATGCTCCTTGTAGCTCTCCATCTGGGGAGCAGTTACCCCTACACAGCATTGCTCTGGTGGCTCAAGGTCCCTCTCTAAAGCAGTGGGGGCACTGGTGCTGTCTGCCCTTGTATATGGGTCACTCACTTTGGAAAGTGGGGTAGGATTCCTCAGCGTAAGAAAGGGGGCTGGGCGCTGGGGCTTAGGCGCCTGTGGCGATCGTGGCATCTTGCTCAAGACTGTCATGCTCAGCCTGGCTGTGGCAGAGTGGACATTGTTTTTGAAGCTGGAGACACGTGCAGAAGAGGGGAAAGGCGGCTGCCAGGCCCCTCTGCCCTCTGCAGGTCCCGTGCTTCTACTTCTCCAGTGTGGGGGCTGCTGGCATTTGAGTTTGGGGAGCTCAGAGGCTTCCCTTGGTATGCATTCCTTCTTCCAGTGGCTGTGGCCCTCTGTACAGGATAAGGCCCTCACTCTGCTGGAAGCCCTCTCTTCTACGTGGGAGACTCGAGGCCTGACCATTTTTCTGCCCCTGCTGCTCTCAGTGGAAAGCTCTTGGACCTGCCCTGGGCCACACCAGCTCTTTGACTCTGCTGCTGGCCTGGGATTCCTCCGAGCAGGGATATTGGCCTTCGGGGTCTCCTCTTGGATCTGTAGTTCTCTTGCGCCCCCTGGTGGTTTGTTTCTCCTGGGTTTCTTAGGCGGCATGGAGCTGCCCATTGGCTCTGACTTGGGTGGCCTACACTTCTCCAGAGCCTGGACTTGGGTAGAAAGTTTTGAGCTTTTTCTTTCAAGAACCGGACAGCTTTGAGACCTGTCTGGAGACTCAGGGCCTAACAGGGATCCCTGGGTCTCACAATGCCGTTCCTGCTGCCTTTGACGATCCTGGTTGGTGCGTACTCCAGGCAGCCTCACGCCAGCCCGAGGTAAAGAGCAAGGTTCTAAGAAGTGAAAAAGCAAGTAAGACTCTAGGATTCGCCGAGGGAGGCCCCACCTCAGGTGTGCAATCCTCCTCTTCATAAGGGATTCCAGGAGCAGATGCTTGCTCTTCTTGAGGGCTGACCCTTTGGGCAGGGCGGTGAGAACAAGGGGTGCATTTGCCAGAGCTGGGGCAGCTTGCGAGACTTGGGGACACAGGAGGAAGGGAAAGACAGAGGATGCCTGAGACTGTGGGTGGGGGTGCTGACATGTCATGGAAGCCTTTCCTGCACCCACCCGTTTGTCCCTTTCTTGTCTTCTTTGAGATCCAGGTTGGGCCCCCTGGGAGCTTTCACTGTTCTTCTGGGCAGGGGCTGTGCTCTGGCTACTGAGATGTTCTTCAGGACAGGGGACAGAATCTACACCATTTCCACCTACTGGCTGCTTGTGCCTAAAAACGAGGGAAGCTGGCTGAACCAAGCTGTACTTCCTGCTCCTGGTTCCCACTGTCACAGAAGAGTTACCTTGGAGACGGGGCCTGACAGCATCCTTTGTTCTGACATGGCCCTTGCCTCCTCTCCTCCTCATATGAGACTGTTCAGAATCCTCAGCACTGCATTTTCTCTGGGCCCCCACATCCTGGATTTCTGCAGCAGCATCTGGACCCTTGCTCTGGATTCTTTGCCCCCGGGTCTGAATCTTTCCCTCACTTTCATTACCTGACTGTCTCTGGTCCTGTCCCATCGAGGGTTGGGTCTCTGGGCCACCATCACTCGTGAAATTTCTCACGTTTCTCTTCCCTTGATTTTGAATTTCTGCATCATCCCCATCTCTGAAATTTTGCTGGGTCTTCCACTCTGACAAGTAGGTCCGTCCATTAGCTTCATTTAACGCTCTCTGATTCTTTCTGCTGGCTCCCTGGATCTTTCTGCCATCCTTGCCTCCAGCCTCTCTCCAGTTTCTCTTCTCCAGCACCCCATTTTCTGAAGCGGTCTCTCCTCTAGCCTGCTCCCAGCTCCCCCACCTGGTAGAACAGCTCCCTCCAGTTCCAGTCAACTGTTCCTGGTTCTTGCTCTCAGGTCTCTGGGTCTTTACATGATCGTCTCCAGGTTCTCTCTGGTTTCTCTTCTCTGGAGCCTGCACTTCCGTTCCATCCTCATGTCCCACCTGCGTCTGGTTGTTTGACTCTAACGAATGGGTATTTGTATCCATGTTACTTCCTAACCCGGTCTGGCTTTCCTTCGTGGCTGCCTTGGTCTCTGTACCTTCCTCTCCTCCACCTCCTTGCGGGAGTCTCATTCCTTGTGTTAGAACTCCTGCACCATCCTCATGCCCAGCCTTCTCTGCCTCCTTGCACCCTGCTGTGTGGGTTGTATCATCAACATGACTACGTGATATTTCTTCCCAGTTCTCTGCCTCAGATATCTGCTTATTTATACTATTGTCTCTTGTCTGCTCCTGATTCTTCTGTTTTGGTGTGTGAATCTTTTTATGAAATCCATTTCCTATCCAATCCCGATTTTCTTCCCCAGGTGTCTGGGACCGTGCTTCATCCTCACCTTCAGCCCCTCTCGGGTCTCCCTCCCCTGGTGCCAGCTCATCCCCCCCATTTTTCCTTCCAGTCTTTCCCTCACTCTTGCTCTCTACTGGGTAAGGCTGAGTTTTACCTCCACGCTGACCCTGATTCTCAGCCTCAGGTATCAGGCTCCCTGCAGCATATTCCCCTCCGACCTGATCCTGATTTCCCCAATATGATATCTTGAGTCCTCTGTCAGTTGCAATCAGCACCAGTCTCTGGTTTCCCCAGCACGGAGCCTGGAGCACCACCCAGTCCTCTTCTCTTATCTCCCTGAGCTTCTTTGTCCCCACACAAACTTCTCTTGACAGATTCTGGTCCTCTCTTTTAGATACTTGGGTCTGCCTGGCATGCTCGTTTCCGCCCCGTTCTTGCTTCTTCCCCGCTGGAGTCTGGACGTCATTCTGAGTTCTAATACATCCTTGTTTCTCCCACCACAGGACCTGGGTCTTTCCATTGTCCTGTGATTTGACTTCCCTCAGGTTCTCCCTCCCAGATGTCTGGATTTTCACACCAACCTCACCTCCAGTCTCCTCGTTTCTTCCTTCCCCTGCCTCAGTGTCTGTCCCAGTATTCCCTCCAGTCTTGTCTTGTGTCCCCTGAGTTAGCATTTGGGAATTCTCACTATTCCTACTTCCAGTCCAGCTCTGTGTTTCCGATCCTTGGTCCTGGACCTCTGCCTCTTCCTTCCTTCCAGCTTCTTTCTCATTCTTCTTTCCCATTACCAGAGTCTCCAGTGCATCCTCCTTGCCCTCCCACTCTGGTGTCTGAGTTGCTATGTCGGTTTTACCTTGGAATTCTTCTTGATCCTCTCCCATAAGAGCCTGGGTAGAAGGATTCTTATCCCCAGGTTCCTTGGTTTTCTTCCATACTTTCTCAGTTTGTTCTCTATCTTCAGATCCCATTTGTTCTTGCTTCTCCCGCCCTGGCATTGAGATCTCTCCATCAGTTTCCATGATTAGTCTCCGGTTTCCACACCCCAGGGCCTTGGCCTTCTCCACTCCAAAGTCTACTGGGAGGAAGCCTCCAGATGCTTGTATTTCTGAAGCAACCTCCCTTCTGCTCTCTCTCTTGTTTGTGCGTTGTGGAGTAGCTTCACCATAGTCTCTGTCTACTGTCTGGGTTTTACCCTGTGGTTCTGAGGGATCTTGTGGGCTATCCGGGGACTTCTCGGTGGGCAGTTCCAATTGTTGGTTAAGAGGACCAGGCAGAAACCTTCTGAGGCAGAACTTTGACCTCTGAACTACAGGGAAGTTTAGAGGGGAGATGGCTAAAGTTGTGGAGGTGAGGTGGTACTTCAGGCTAACAGACTCTCCTGGCACCACCTCCTCCTGGGAGGGGGGCTGCATTCTTTGGCACATGTCCAGGGAAGGGTGGGCCTGGCTATTGCTAGAACACCAGGGGACCTGCCATACTTCCCAAGAACTGTCCCGAGGAAAAAGACAAGTGCTGTTTGAAAAGGAAGAGGTACAAAGCATGGGCTCAGAAGAGGTGGGGACAAGCCAAGGCAGGTCTTGGCATGAGTTCTGCGGTGACAGTAGATACTGGGTGGCCCACTGTTGCCTGACATTCTTCCTGTGTCCCCATCTCTGCTTCTGTGTCCACTGTTGCACAGGAACATCCAGGTCCCTGATTCTTCCAAGAGTAAAGAACTGGGGAATCATCTCAAAGCAAGCTTCGTGTCTGGTGGATGGCACTGCCCGTCTCTGCGGTGGCACCTGTAAAAGTGAGGACCGAGAAGCAAAGCTCTGACATACACATTCTTCCCGCCGTTCCTTACAGATCTGACTAAATGTCCCACTACCCAGATGAAGGTGCTTGGGCTAAGTGGGAGGCACTTCCCATAGGCAAACAGCATCTATTCACCCCGAAATACTGAGAGCTTGCTCTGAGTCAGGCGCCGTTCTGTGTGTTGGGTACCAATGTAAATAAGATAAAGTCCATACTGGGGATCATATTCTAGACATGGAGAAGACAATAAGCAAATACATAACTATCGGGCAAGGGATGTGGCTCAATTCATAGAGTCTGTGCCGAGCACGGGAAGAATCCTCTCCAATAATCTCTGCACTCAGAGAGTAGACAAAGGAGGATCAGAAGTTCAGAGTCGTAGCAAGTTAGAAGCCAGCCTGGGCTATATGAGGCCCTTTTCTTAAACAAAACAAAAATCCATGTTATCATCCCCCCCCCAAAAAAAAGCATTTGAATGGAAATAAATGCATAGGAGGGGCTGCAGTTAACTCCGCTAGACAGAAGAGTCAAGGAAGGCCTCTCAGAGGAGGTGCTATCTGGCAGGAAAATTGAATGAGGTTAGGGGCAAGCCAAGTGACACCAGAGTACGACAGGCAGAAAAGACATTAAGTGTAAAGACCCCGGGAAGAGAACAAGAAGGATTATATCCATAGGACAGCAAAGACGCTCAGTGAGAGCTTATTGTTGTTCAGTGGCACAGCACAGTGCCTAGTGTGTGAGACCCTGAGTTCTGCCTCAGCGTTAAAAAACAAGGAAGAAAGAGAAGGAGCACCCAATGTGGTCAGAATGGAGCCAGCACCAAGGAGAACCCTGGAAGATGAGGCCAGAGATGGGTGCAGGCTAGACCCTATCAGGCCTTGGAATTGAGGCCAGGGTTTTGGTTTTGTTCTGAATTTTGTAGGGAGTGGACTCACAGAAACCACTCTAGGGTTTTATGTAGCACAGAGTTTTGCTCTGTTTTGAAGTCTGTCTGGCAGACAAGCACGGTGTTGGACAGCAGGTTAATGTGGAACGCTTGCCCTGTGATTTCATATAGGTCTGAACTAGCAGCACTACCAGCAGCTACAAGTCACATTGTGGGGCTTCAGGGCGTCTTTTCAGTGCTGGAATTCGAACCCAGGATCTTCTAGTCTGGTCGGGGTTTTTTGTTTGTTTGTTTGTATTTTAGATTTTTGTGATAGGGTTTCTCTGTAGCTTTGGGGCCTGTCCTGGAATTCACTCTGTAAACCAGACTGGCCTCAAACACACAGAGATCTGCCTGCCTCTGCCTCCCGAGTGCTGGGATTAAAGGCGTGCGTCATCACTACCCAATTTAGTCTGGATTTTTGAAGCGTATTTTGTTTGTTTGCTTGCTTGCTTGCTTGCTTGCTTGCTTGCTTGCTTGCTTGCTTGTTTTGTGTGGAATAAGAGGAGACAAGGCTTGAAACAGAGTCTATTACTCCTCCTGATCTGCATCCTGGGTCCTGAGTGCTGGGATCACAGGTATAAACCACCATACCCAGTTTGCTTTTCTCTGTTTCTTTTGAGACAGGGTCTCTCTAGATAGCCCTGGCTGTCCCGGAACTTACTATATAGACGCGGCTTTCCTTGAACTCACAGTGACGCCTGCCTCTGCCTCCTGAGTGCTAGGATTAAAGGCGTGTGCCCCATGCCCAGTCTCATGCCTGGTTTTCATTGCTAGTGTTTGAAGCCAAATGCTGATGGCCTTGTCAGAGGAGTAGCAGGTGGCGATTGAAGTTCCAGGTGTCAGCCTCCCAGGAGGAAACGCTGTGATAGGCCACTTTAGGCAAGGCCACGGGACTGCCGACCCTGGAATGTCTTTTGCTTCTGATGTGTCTTTACATGGTTGCTGCAGCTCTCTTTCTCTGGTACCCAGCATGGTGTGTGTGGGTGTGGGAAGATCTCCACTGCCTGTGATAGAGTGTGTTCATCTCTTGGAAACATCCTGTTCTACCGGGCACTTTTATCTGTAGATTGTCAAGATGACCCCTCCCTAAGCTGTACTGTCTAAACTGATAATAATAATAACAATAGCCTATACAGAGTTTTGATGAATAAAAATAAATACAAGGATCTGTTTCACAGATAAGGCCTATAAATTCCACCTTAGGAGCTACTTAGGAGCCAGGCTGACTCTAATTCTCTTAATGCTGAAAAGAGGCAGTGGTGGCACACCCCTTTAATCCCCAGCACTCCGGAGGCAAAAACAGGCAAATCTCTGAGTTCGAGGCCAGCTTGGTCTACAGAGCGAGTTCCAGGACAGACTCCAAAGCTACAGAGAAACCCTATCTGAAAAACAAAAAGAGGCTGCCATGTGCCATTAGCTAAAATAAAGCTTCAAAATAACTTCAGTTTAGAGCAGATGCCTTGATAAGGTTTTAAGATAAATATCCTCAAGCCAGGCGGTGGTGGCGCACGCCTTTAATCCCATCACTCGGAAGGCAGAGGCAGGAGGAACTCTGTGAGTTCGAGGCCAACCTGGTCTACAAGAGCTAATTTCAGGACAGGCTCCAAGGCTACAGAGAAACGCTGTCTTGAAAAACCAAAATAAATAAATAAATACCCCCAGAAAACAAGCTAAAGTTCACAAGAACACATAGCTGAGCTGTCTGATTCATTAGGCTAGGGTAGGGTCCAAAATACAATATACACCCCGACTGTGCTAGCTTTCCTTGCTAGGTTTGGTTGATGACCAAAGGTGATGATTAATTCCTTATATTCATTTCTGCCCTCAACCTCATGATATTAAAAAAAAAAAACTATTAAGAGTGGATATGTACCCTAAAAATTTAAAGTAGAGCTGATTCTTTTTCATATACAAAAGCTTAGGTTTGTGATTCCCTTAAGACTCCTTAAGACTTTAAGACTAAGGAAAAAAAAAAGGACTTTAAGACTTAATTCCTTAAAGACTTCTTTCAAGATGAGTAATCGAGCAATTTGCCCTTTCTTTGTAGCTGCAAAATGCAGCCTGCCAATAAAAAAAACCCAACAAGAACACCTTGTATGCCCACACGATTAATCTATACCAAGTTGCTTGGGCATGAATGGCTGTGGGTTCTTGTGGAAATTTGTTTCTCACCTGTAGTATGTAAAATGTTTCATCATGTAAGGGAGATGAAAAAACATGTTTTTGCTGTATTCGTTATAACCGTTCACTTGAAAAGCAGAATGAAACCACCTTGTAAATCCTGTATTGCCTGAAAAACTTTGTTGGGTTATAGAAGCTGTAGAAAAAAAAGCATACAGTAGAAAGAACAGAGAAAGAACAAGAGAAAACAGAGAATAAAGACAGAAGCCATCAAGAGAGCGTGTGAATGTTTCTTTTCCTAAACCCCCTCAGAGAGAAAAGTCTAGTTTACACCTACTCTGTGGATTCCTCTCAAGGCCCTGTGCTGCTGGAGGCTGGCCCCCCAGATAGCAGTAGCCAAGGCTTTATAACTGGCTAAACATTCTCTCTCTCACTAAGCAACACTTCTTACTTGAGGGCCTGTTTCTTTTGTCTTTCCTTTTATATCTTGCAAAACAGAGTTCCATAGCCCTGGCTGACTGAGAATTAGATATGTTGACCAGGATGGCTTCAATTTGGGGCAGTCCCCGCCTCTGCCTCCTGAATGTTGGGATTACAGGCTTGTACCAACCACCACACACACTAGCCCATGTGTACATGCCATAGCATAGGTGCGGAGGTTAGAGAACAATCTGTGGGACTTCTTTTTCTCCTTTCACCTCGTGGGTTCTGGGGATCAAAGTCAGGTCATCAGGCTTGGCAGCAATCACTTTTACCCACTGAGCCATAATTATGTGTACATAACTTTTTTAAAAAGGAGAAAGGAAGGTTACGCCAGGCAGATGCAGACAGCCGTTACCATGGTCCAGGACTACATGCTGGCGGCTCTGCCTGGGAGGTGTAGTGACGTCTCCAGAAGTCATAGCTATGAGTGATGGATCGCATGGAGGGTTCCTAAAACTTGCAAATGGATTGAGTGTATGGAGTGAGGAACAGAGGCGAATCTGGGCTATCTCCTGGGTTTAAGGCTTAGATGTTGATTACACAGACCAGCCTAAGTTCTTTAGTTCATCTCTGATACACAAGACACAGAACAGGGTCCACGTAGCAAGTGACAAAACAATTGTGATGCTAAGGAAGTGGCCCCTTTACCTTGGTGGCATTCCTCTTGCTGGTCCTGGAGACCCGGTACCAATACTGTTGGATCTGCCAGATCAGAAAGAGGCAGAAGACAATCAGATTACCACAACACCGAGGATCCCTGCAGCTTCGATCCTGAGGCAGTAGGCCCCTTACTGGCTCCCACTCAGGGCCCTGGAATGGACCCACCACGGCACAGGCTCCCAGAAGTGGCAGCAACATGGCAAAGATTAGGTCAGGTAGATGGTGTTTTAGGGGAGTGAGAAGGAAACACTGGTGTGGCTGGCTCAGCCAGTTTGGGATGACGTACCCCTTACTTCATAGTACCTCTGTCACTGAGGCCACCTCACAAAGGAGCCTGCCTGCTGCTGCACTTTCAGCTCTAGCTAATAGTTCTGGCTAGCAGGCTCTTGGGAGAGGAAACCTCTCCTGGCCAGACCAGACTAGGCTCAGACAGGAGCTCCAAGATGGAGTGTTATGCCTCCATGTGGCCAAATGGCTAAAGAGCAGGTTGGGTACAAGCGCGAGACTTACTTGCTACGGACCGGCTCAAGGGAGCCACTCAGACCTTAAGGGAATCAGGGCGAAGGCACAGGAGAAATCAGGATACGGCGAGGAAAAGTGACACACAGACACTCTCAATGTTTTTGAGACATGCTGTTGCGATTTACTTACTTCAGTGCAGGATTATATATTATTACAAACAAAGAACTTGGCAAAGGCATACATCATCAGATCATAAAATAGAAAAGAACGGCATAAAACAGTTTTACAAAGAGAATCTTTATAAAGATGCTTTGGCATGAGTACAAGGACTTTTGCTTCCTTACATTTGTAAAGTTACCCCTTCTTTTTTCTTGTTATTAGAGAGACCATTGTTCTTGAGTTAGCCCACCTTTATCAGCTTGTACCAGGTGGCTGACTTGGGCTCAGCTAAGTGATCTTGTGTGTCTGGGTGAGAAAGAAGAAGAAGGCTACTATCTTCCTGGAAAAACTTTCTGAGACTCATTTTGTACCATTAATCTCAACTCCTTTCCCTTCCCGACTCTCACGGTCAGATGTTGTAATTAGCCTAGGTTTTCTGGCCATAAGGAAGGCTGCATAGGCCTCCTGTTGAGTTGCACATAAATGCGTAATGCTGTTTTCCTGTAGAAGGCTTCTAAGGTTTTTTCTGCTAAGATTAACTCCTTTTATTCCACATCATCAAGGAATTGTCCTAATGATGATTTTGGCAACTCCCAGAACTGGCTACTTTTTTAAGGCTTTAATTAATAGTGGAGCAGAATTCAAAAATGTCCTCAGCAGTCTTGTTTATATCCACAACTGCCTGGAATAGTCTGATCTGTTGGCAATATGTAAGGATCACAAAGAACACACAGACAAGGGAAAAGACACACATATGGCTCCAAGGACAGTCAGGTCGAGTCAGTACTAATGGCGACTCAGGTAGCATTACACCACAACTGGTTGCCAAGGGACCCGCCTGGAACACACAGCTCCTAGAAGCACAAATCCCAATCCTTCCGGCAATATCTGCCCATCCAGTCAGCATTTCTGCTACACTGGCGAGACAGCCGTGGATGTAGCACCTACTGAGCTTTCCCTGACATTGGTACCAGAGCCTTCAGCAAGGACAGTGAGGGAAATATCATAACTCAGGGCCATAAACTGCTCAGGTAGGGACTGATAAATAGCTTAAGATGATTCCTTGGTCCCTCATGGAAGCAAAAACTAGACAGAGGACTTTGAACCTAATGGAGCTAGTGGCATAATAAAAGCTTACCTCGTTGATGGGTAATTGGATGCATTTGGACAGAAGGGAATAGCTTCTAATGTTTTACTGCATGGTGGGATAACTATGTTTGACAACAACTCATTGAATTTTTTGTTCGCTTCTTGGTTTTTAGACAAGACCTTTCTATATAGCCCAGGCTGTCCTCAAATTCACATTGATCCTCCTGCCTTAGACTGAGTGCTGGGAATACAGGCATTCATTACCACATCAGCTAATTAAACCCCCCAAATTTTTTCTTTTTTTTTCTTTTATTTATTTACTTATTATGTATACAATATTCTCTCTGCAGACCAGAAGAGGGCACCAGACCTCATTACAGATGGTTGTGAGCCACCATGTGGTTGCCGGGAATTGAACTCAGGACCTTTGGAAGAGCAGGCAATGCTCTTAACCTCTGAGCCATCTCTCCAGCCCCATTTTTTTTCCGATTTATCGATAACAACCTATCGATTGATCGATTATTGATTTTGGTTATCTGGTGTGGGAGAATTGTCTGTATTCTGTCAATCATGTATTTTAATAAAACGTTGATTGGTCAGGCAGGAAGTATAGGCGGGTCAACCAGACAGGAAGTAGAGGCGGGGCAATGAGAATAGGATAAGGCTAGGGAGGAGGAAACTCCCTCCGCCGCTCCTGTGCAGACCACCAAAACAGACAGCATGTAACCTGCCCAGCTGAAAAAGGTACAGAGTCATGTGCTAATGTAGATAAGGATAATGGGGTAACATCAGTTATAAGAGTTAACAAGAAGCCTGACCTAATGGGCCAATCAGTTTATAACCTTATGGAGTCCTGTGTGTGATTTTGAAAGACCCCCGAGGGATGTCTTCCTGAACCAGACGAAACCACACTTACGGAGGCAAACAGCAAGAGGTTTATTCGAATACACAGGTACCTGGGGCGACAAGGTCTCTCGGAAGACTTGCGCGCCCCCAGGTTGGGGTGAGGGGTTCTTATAGGAGAGCAAAAGCGCGGGTACAGAAGCGAAAAGCGTGGTTATGGGGATTCATTCCATTGGTCAATTCAAATAAGGCTAAGAGTGCGTGCTCAGTGGCAAATTCTTGACCTTTCACCTAAATACCAAGGAGGGGGTTGTCCAGGAGCATCCTGTTTTTCTTATCTGCTTTCCTAGCTGGAGACCCCATGGCCGGCTGTAAATACCCTGACTCACATCCTGTCACAGGACAAAAGGCCTCCTCCCCTCCCCCTTATTTTACAGGCTTGATTCTAATGCCTTTCATTCCAACATTCAGGGTGGTATCTTTTCTTTTTTCCTTTTCAATTTCTCTTTGGGATTTGCCGGCTGTGGAATATCGGGCGGGATAGAAACCCCAACAAGCCGGCCCCCTCATGCTACAGTTATCACCAGGCGGGATTTGAACCCACGTCCCTTGGCACTAGAGTGGAGTGTTAGGCGCTCCTAGCCACAGAGCCATGGCTCAAGCTGCTCAAAATTTTTTCTTTGAGATCATATCACTATGTAGTCCTAGCTAGACTAGAGCTCACTACATAAACCAGCCTGACCTTGAACTCAGAGATCTGTCTGCCTCTGGAGTGTTGGAATTAAAGGTGTGTGTGTACCATCACACTTAGCCTGAATAAGTAAGAGGACCCTGGGAGCAAAGCTACCTAGGCCAGGCTCCATCATATCACACAAGGTGCTGAAGAACTTACCTCCAAATCACCCACTGTCCTCCTCTATCATCTCCTCCTCTTTCCTTTCTAATCCCCTCCTCTCCCCTTTCCTCTCCTACTTTTGCTTTTCTGAGATTTCTGGCTTAGAAATCATTGTATAATCCAGGCTGGCCTCAAACTCACAACAATCCTCCTGTCTTAGGTTCCTAAGTGGTGGCAATACAGGCACAAGCCACCAGGCCTTTACATTATTAAATAAAATAAATTCCATTTCTAGAGTTAAAGAATACAAGAAGTGCCAGGCAGTGGTGGCACACGCCTTTAATCCCAGCACTTGGGAGGCAGAGGCAAGCGGATCTCTGTGAGTTCAAGGCCACCCTGGTCTACAAAAGCTAATTCCAGGACTGGTTCCAAAGCAACACAAGAAACCCTGTCTGGGGGGGGAGAACAAAAAACAAAAAAGAATACAAGAAGCCTTTCTGCTCTGCTTTGTGGGTTTCTTACTTCTGGAACAGAGGCAGTCTTGAAGGAGTAGGGTCTAGGCAACAGTAAGGATGATGAAGTCATAACAAAACTGTCTAGAGAAAACTTGTTTGGCCCTGGGAAAACAGAACTCAGAAGAGGAGGAAGGCTGAAGTAGAACGTGCTGGGCATCTCCACGTTGCTCTGGCTTAAACCTTTCTGTACTCTGGAGTGAAGAGATTAAGCATCATGTCAAGAGACTGCCTGACATGAACGATCGAATGATGTAACCTGCCCAATCACGGAAAAAAGATCTATATTCCTGGTAGCAAGTAATCCATAGCAAACTAATTTCTTTGAACCCTCTCCAAAAGTTTAAAAAATAAACCTAAATCTTATATCAAGATTTTTCTAATGCCATTGCTTTTAGATACTTGTCAGGAGCAATCGTCAGGAGCTACTGCGGGTCATGATGCAATTACAGTTTATAACAATTGATAATTCAGATATCAAGCCACCAGAAGGATGGTTCTCTGTTGGAGAAACCCTGAAGGGCAGGGCCTGCAGGGCCACTGACTCTCTGAAAACGGTTGCTTTAATCTGTAATTTCACTTGTGCAATAACAGTTATGACTAGGCGGCGGTGGCACACGGCCTTAATCCCAGCACTCAGGAGGCAGAGGCAAGTGGATCTTGCTAGTTCCAGGGCAGGCTCCAAAGCTACAGAGAAACCCTGTCTCAAAAAACCTGGCTGTCCTATAACTAGCTATGTAACCAGGCTTGCCTCGAACTCACAGAGATCCGCCAGCCTCTGCCTCCCACGTGCTGAGATTAAAAGTGTGCGCCACCACCGTCTGGTTATATTCATTCTTTTAAAAAATGATTTCATGTGTATGGGTGTTTGCCCCAATGTAAATCTGTGCATCACAGTCCTCATGGAGGCTAGAAGAGGGAGTTGGATCCCCCGCTGGAACTGGAGTCACCAAAGTTGTTAGTTGCTTTGTGGGTGCCGGGAATAGAATCAATATCCTTTGGAAGAGCACCCAGTGCACTTAACCAGTGATCTATTTTTTCCAGACTCGATAAATGCTTACTCCTATAAGCAGTTTGAATCTTTCTGGTTGCCTGACCCCCAGCAATGCTCAAGTAGCTCTATATGGCGAAAATAACCCAGGCCAATAGCTAAAATCTCAGCTTTGCACTGTTTTCCTCATGATGGTGGACAGGCTTCCCTTCTCTTGGCATTTGTTCTCCATCTAGAAAAGTGAGAAGCTATTTTGCATGGTTCTTAAAGATCTCCCCAGCTCTCAGCTTCTCCACATTTGAAGCCATGAACTGAAATTGGCTCTGAATGGTGTGGGCTGGGCTAGATCCAAAAGGTCCCAAATGTGTGTGGCACCATGTTGGAAAAAATGGGGGGCATAGAGGATCACTGAGGACCTCGTAGGAAGAAATACTAGACATGAATTTATTATTTAATAATGGAGTTTTAGTGTGGCATTAAGAGAGGGGCAAGCAAATGCCTTTAATCCCAGAGGCAGGCAGATCTCTGTCTTAACACTAAGGGGTTAGACAGGTGAGTTTTTATTTTTTCTTGTGGAGGAAGACAAGGTCTCATGTGGCCGAAGGTTGGCCTCGAACTCGCTATGTAACCGAAACGGGCAACAAACGGATTCTCCTGCCTCACTTTTCAAATGCTGGGGTGACAGGCAAGCCACCACCTCAGGCCTGAGAAGGTTTTCAAAGGGTACAGGATATGCTCAAAAAATAAAAACAAAAACAAAAGGTCAGGCAATGGCTGGGTGTTGGTGGCCCACACCTTTAATCCCAGCACTTAGGAGGCAGAGGCAGGTGGATCTGAGTTCGAGGCCAGCCTGGTCTATAGAATGAGTGCAAGGACAGCCGGGGCTACACAGACCATCTCGAAAAACAAACAAACTAAAAAAAAGCAAACAAGAAAAAAATGGCAATTATATGGTGACCCTTGAAGCCCTTTGTATTCGAATGTTTAATTCACAGTTTTGGCCGACGATTTACACTAAGTCGCTAAGGAAACCAGTAACACACCTTCCCTCACGCAAAGACGATTCGGGATTTCAGCAGGGTGGGTCGGGGGCCGGGGCAACGTCACTGCGCGCTCCGAGTGACATCACTTCCGCTTCCTCCCGCGCAGAAAGTGACTTCCGCTAGTCTTTCCGTGCGGCGCTTTCAGTCTGTCGGAGCTCGGCTGTTCTCAACCCGCGGCGGGGCCGGCGCACCGCAGCCATGGTGAGTGAGTGAGCGTGTGGGAACGCCGGCGCGGGGAGCGGGGGACACGGGCTTCTGCTTGCTCCGGCCGGTGGGAGGCGGAGCGCGTGCGCCATCTCGCCCGCCCGGCGATGGCCGACCTCCGGTTCCCGGGGTAGAACTCGGGCCGCCGCGGCGTGGTCGCGGGCGGCAGAGTGGAGAACTAAGGCGGCGGGAAGCCTGGGACCGCTGTGGCCCGAGCCGCTTTGCAGAGGTGGGCGTGGCCTGAGGCCGGGCGCTGCGTGGGAAACTGACCGCCCCACGTGGGATGGCGAAGGGCTATGGAAACTTCGGCCTCCATTCCCTTTTGCTTACTTTTTCCTTTCTTAAAATAATCTCCAGAAGATGACGTGAAATCACAGGTAGTCGACTGCTACCCACCAGCTTCCCACGCCCGAGGTTCAGGAACGTGGCTCCGTGGAGTTTGCATCTGCTATCCTGCCGGGAACTAACCCGGCATAGGAAATTCAGGGGCGGTTTAGGGTATTTTTTTTTTTTAAGGGACTCAGTATGTAGCCCTGGTTGGCCTGGAACTCGATGCGTTGACCAGGCCGACCTCGAACTCTCAGATCCGTCTGACTCAGCCTCCGGATTAAAGGCGTGTGTCTTCACGCCCTCGCATTAAGGATTTATTTGAGGGGGGGTTCAAGGGAAATGTGGCATGGTGATACCTACGCCTCCGAAATCAGAGGTCTTGGGAGCCTCACGTGTGACGATAACGCTTCCTCGGCTCCACTTGAATATTGTAGCTAGAGGGTTCCAGCTCGTGTTCCTGTCGTAACTAGTTGGGATCGGAACATCCAGCCCTTTGGTTCTTTGCTTTGATACCTTTCGCTCCCCCACCTCCGAAGTTAGTAACTGGCTGCGTCTGGTTTGAGAAAGCCTCTAAGCCAGTGCTGAACCCGTGAAAAGTTTTGAGCTCCGGTGCTTTCGGGTTGAATTTTGCATCGACTGTGAAATGGGCAGAATGAGTTAGTTGTAAGACTTGCTGTGCGCGCATGCATTCCTTAAGGACGGGTGCATTCAAGCTTTGGACTCGAGATCCTCCTGTCTCAGCCTCCAGAGTGCTGGAATTACAGGTGTGTGCCGCCACACCAAAGCTAGTCATTCTTGGGCCTCTTGATTAGAAGCCGGGATGATGCTGCCCTGACAAGTGTACTGTCTACAGGAAACATTTTTTAGTACACAACAAGAATAAGGAAGTGTAGTGTGGTAAATAGCAAGCCTTTTATTACTGTGCGTGATTTAATGTGCCACTGTATACAAAAAGCAACACGTCGATGACTTTACAGATATTAAGGTATTTGCTAGATCTTTAAAGTGACTAGTGTCACTGGCCTTTTTCAGCTCCTTTAGCATTTTATGTGAGCAGGGTCTAGTTTACTGAGGCATTATTAGGTTATGTATGGCTATATTTGCTAAATCAAAATCATGCATGTCTTTGACTGTCTGGTATCAAAGTAGACCGAATTGATCAAGCTAGGGATTCAAGTTGACTAGCCTGGGCTGTATAGCAAGCCTTGTCTCAAAAAGGTGTGGGCTGAAAATATAGGTTAAGTGCCTGGTAGCATGCCCAAAGTCTTGAATTCAGTTGCCAACACCTCAAAAACGTGAAATTAAAGAGGCCTAACTTTTGGATTGTTTTTTAATATTTGAGAACTTGGAGTTCCGATTACTTGAAGGCATTATTTGATTGAGCCCAGGAATTCAGGTCCGCCCAGGCAACCTAGTTAAGTTTGTTTGGGGAAAAAACAAGTGAATGAATAAATCTGTGGATGGGAAAATAATGAAAAATAGTAATAATTCTAAAGAGAGGAAAGAAACAGAACACCCCAGCAACCCAAAATGAAGATTGAACCCACTATGTAAGTACTTAAAATATAGAGTCTAAATGTTCCAGTTCTGCGGGGCCTAGAGTGCATTTGTCTCCAGAGATCCACCTGTCTCTGCCTCCGCCTCCCGAGTGCTGGGATTAAAGGCATATGGCCAAAACTTCCAACTTTTTCTCTTTTTTACTGCATTTGCTCACTGGTATGGATGTGCATGTAGGATCAGTAAACAACTTGGGAAAGTCAGTTCTCTCCATCATGTGGGTTCTGGGAATCATTCAAGTTGGAGGCAAGCAAATCTCATTAGCCCTGAATTTGTCAAAAGATAAAACCTTATTTTGTATATTTGAAAAATAAATTAAAGGATATTTTAATAATCATAAGCAACTGTATATATTAATATCCACACCAGCAAAATTAATTTGAATAACTTTTGGATATGATGCTCTGAACTGGGTGGTTGTAGGAAATCTTGACCTGGTGAGTGTGGTGATAGATGAGGTTAGACAACAGGCTAAGGCTAAATAAAAGTATCTAAGTTAATTTTTTTAAGAATTTTTTTTAATTTATTTATTGGTTTTGGTTTTTTGAGACAGGGTTTCTATGTGTAATAGCCCTGGCTGTCCTGGAACTCTCTTTGTGACCAGATTGGCCTCGAACTCACAGAGATCCACCTGCCTCTGCTTCCTGAGTGCAAGGATTAAAGGTGTGCACCACCGCCGCTCGCCTAAAAAATGTTTTTGCCTGGTGGTGATTACAGACCCAGTTTGAGGCCTGCCTGGGCTACACAGAGAAACCCTGTCTCCAAAAACCAAACAAGTTCTGTCTGTACTTAGTTGGGTTCTTTGTTGAATCGCTAGGGGCTGTTTTTGAAGTTGAACATCGTCTATCCCTAAAATATGGGGGGAGGTATGTATGCATGTGTATATGTGTAAGGAGGGAACCAAGCTGGTCCTTGTCTCGGTTGTAGATAAATATTTTGTCATTTGTCTGAAATCCCTTTTGATTCTTGTGTTTCCTTCCAGACAGAGGCTGATGTGAACCCGAAGGCCTATCCCCTCGCAGATGCCCATCTCACCAAGAAGCTGCTGGACCTTGTTCAGCAGTCATGCAACTACAAGCAGCTTCGGAAAGGAGCCAATGAAGGTGACTCCAGGGTGGTGCTGGGGTGCTGAAGAGCCCTGTCTTCAGCAGGGGTGGCCTGCATTTCTAGTTTGGAAGAAAGTGCTTTATTCTCATTCTCCCTCACCCTTCTTCACTTTTGTTCATAGTTTGTGGAGACGAGTCTTGCTGTGTTCTCAGGGTAGCCTCAAAGTCCTCATACCTCAACCTCCTAAATAGTTGGGCTAACAGTTGACTCTAGACTGGGCAGTGGTGGCGCACGCCATTAATCCCAGGCCTGGGGAGGCAGAGGCAGGCGGATGATCTCTTTGAGATCAAGGCCAGCTTCGTCTATGGAGTGAATTCCGAGATAGCCAGAACTGTTTCACAGAGAAACCCTCTCTCAAAAAACCAATTTTTTACTGACCAATGAAAGATGTATTGGGTAGTTAGGATGTAGAGTCATCAGTTAATATTTTGCTATATTGCCTTTCTCTCTGAATATATAATTTATTTATTTTTGTGGGCCATTTGGAAGGCAGTTGTTAAACTTTGTGTATGAAGTTGTACTCACTCTTTAGAACCATCAAAAGGAAAGGGATTTTAATGCTTTTTTTCTTCCCCAGTATCTGGCGTTGTGAGGTGCATGTATTTTTTTTTTAAGATTTATTTATGCCAGGATGTGGTGACACATGCCTCAGAGGCTGATGGATCTCTGAGTTCAAGGCCAACCTGTTCTACAGAGTGAGTTCTAGGACAGCCAAGGCTATACAGAGAAAAGCCCTGTCTCGGAAAGAAAAGAAAGATTATGTATGCAGTGTTCTGCCTGCGTGTATGCCTGCAGGCCAGAAGAGGGCACCAGATCTCATCCTTGTAAATGGTTGTAAGCTACTATGTGGTTGCTGGGAATTGACCTCAGAACCTTTGGGAGAGCAGGCAGTGCTGGTAATCACTGAGCCACCTCTCCAGCCCTGGGATGCATGGATTCCAATGGTTCTCAAAAACATTTCCCTTTTGTCTGTGGAGAAGGTGGTACAGGTAGGGACAGACTGAGGCTAGGGAGTTTTGTGTTTTGTTGGTTGGTTTATTTGGGAGAGCCTCATGAACACAGACTAGCCTCACAGATTTACTGTGTAGCCAGCCGATCCTCCTGTCCCCACCTCTCAAGTGCTGGGATTACAAATTCTACCATGCCTGGTTGTAGCTTGGTTTGGTGAGTGAGCAGTTTTTCAGTGGGCTAATTATATGCACCCATGACATTTCTGCCCAGAGAAGATAAAACCAAATAATTTTCTGTAGTAGAGCTGATTTGTTTTTAGATACTAATTTAAATGCTATGTTTGAGATTTTAGGAGAACCCTGAAAAAATGAGAATCTTTTACCTATGCTGTGGCAGAAGGCAAAATAAACCGCTTTGGGGCCTATTCTGTTGGCCTGTGTCTGCAAGGCAGCAGTGCTGTGACGAGACTAGGGTGTGTAGCTGTTGGACAGAACACTGGGGCCTTGGTGACCAGTTAAAACTATAGAAACATTACTTTTCGCTGGTTGGTCTTTATGCTGAGTGGGTGAGAAAGACATTAAGGATTAAGTAACTGGCTAGTGTTTGGGTGCCTTATCACAGTGCTGCTCCAGCCAGAATATTGCTTCCCCCGCCTCGCCCCCTTTTTGAGACAGGGTCTCACTATGTAGTTTTGGCTGGTTCTGGAACTCTGTCGACCAGACCAGACTGACCTCAAACTCAGAGATCTGCCTCCCTATTGCTGAGATTAAAGGTGTGTGCCACCTTGCCTGACTTGTTCCTAAGTATTTTGTCTGCTTCCTTGTACCTGTTCCTTGTTCCTTGCTTTGCTGTGGCTGCTCTGCCCACGTCCCTTGTCATCTGTTGACTTCATGTCCTGTCTCAACAGCCACCAAAACCCTCAACAGAGGCATCTCTGAGTTCATCGTGATGGCAGCAGACGCTGAGCCCTTGGAGATCATCCTGCACCTCCCACTGCTGTGTGAAGACAAGAATGTCCCCTATGTATTTGTGCGCTCCAAGCAGGCCCTAGGACGGGCCTGTGGGGTCTCCAGACCCGTCATCGCCTGTTCTGTTACCATCAAAGAAGGCTCCCAGCTAAAGCAGCAGATCCAATCCATCCAGCAGTCTATTGAAAGGCTCCTGGTGTAGCCTGTGGCTCTGCCCTTCCTGTCTGCTCCCACCCTACTCTGTATCATACCGTCTGTTAGCATGTAGTGTTTTCGGCCAGTTTCTATTATAAATATTGTACTACATCTGGTTTTTGTATTTTTTTTATAGTCTTACAAGGTTGTTCTGTCCCCTCTCTCCATCCTCTACTACCATTTTTTAATCTGTTTCACTTAATCTAAGTGAGATGATATCTAAGTTAGGTGAGAGGCAGAACGTCACAGTTTAACAGTGGGAAGAACCAGGAAAAACCTAAGCCAAGGATAGTGTCTACTTTCATCTGCAAATTCATTCCTCTGTTTAGGACAAGATGACAGTAACACTGGTCTCCCATGCCTTTGCATATGAGATCTCCATAAATGCTACCATGACTGAAAATCTTTCTTTGGGAAGCAGCCCCTCCCACCCACTGTCATTTGAAGAGAAAGTCTGATAATGTTAAACCTACGTCCAAGTGCCATTTATTAATGTTGTGTTTTTGATATGTGTAATCTTCTATTCTTACCCCATTCCCTACTGAGGGTATCAAGGCAGTAACAATTCAAAGCTGTGGTCTGCAGACTCAGAGGTGGCCTGAGTTTGACTGCGTGGATCTTGAAGAGTGACAAGGACAGAATAGTTGGAGTAAAGAGTACCAGGGCTGGAACTTAGAGCAGAGAATGCTATCAGGGACATCCTGCCCTTCGCTGAATGGGGATTTCTTGTGGGGCTGTTTGATACCCACTTTGGGAGTCCTATCCCTTTCCTCCCTCAACATGGGTCAAATGTATTCTTTATCACATGAAGAGAGTGAAAATAATGTTGTTCATTCTTGAGCATCCTAATAAATATGTTCATATTACATTTTAAATGAAATTGGCAGCAGTGCCTAATTTTCGGTTTTATCAGCTAATATTTGAAAATGAAACGCTTAGCATTTCTAGGGCAGTTGTGACATGGGTAGGGAAACATTGGGCGCGTAGACCGGACTGGCCTGAATTCTTAAGAGATCCCCTGCCTCCACCTCCCATGCTGTAATTACAGGTATGCACTACACCCCTGCTTTATTGTATTTTGTTTTGATAGTGTGTGTTGGTGTTGGGGATCAAGCCCAAGGCTTCCAAAGTACTCTACTACTGCTCCAAGCCCAGCTGTTGTTTCACTTGGTGCTAAATAGCAAGCACACACCTACCACTGAATTCTATCTCCAGCCTTAACTCTTCACATAGAGGCCATGTAAAGCCAAGCGATGATGCACACACCTTCAATCCCAACACTCTGGAGGCAGTGGCAGGCCTGGCCTACACAGAAACCCTGTTTCAAGGAGAAGAAACGAGTTCTGACTGCTCTTCCAGAGGACCTGGGTTCAATTCCAAGCACCCACATGGTGGCTCACAACTGTCTGTACTCCAGTTTCCAACACCCTCACAAACATGCAGACAAAATACCAAATCACATAAAGGTAAAAATACTAAAAATTTCTGTTCCCACTCGTTCTATACATCAGAATTTCCTAACACAAGTTGGTTGATTGCAGGCAGCCTGGCAGGCGTCCGCACACTAGATGGCAGTAACAGTCCATCTTCACTCCCAACCAGAAATGAAGCCATTAGCCAGTGTGCCCTGGGAGCAAAATCACCCACAGTTGAAACCAATATTGGCAGTGAGTCAGGCACATGAAGACTTAGTGTTGGCACCTGAAGGCACTCACTCCTGCCTCTTGTGCCTTACACCTCTATCGCACAAACAGTACTTTAGCTTGAGATCTAACTGTACAAATAACTACCATACAAGTCAGATGAGAAGACAGATTATGCTCCTCTTTCTCTCCATCTGGCTGGGCAGATTCCACTCCAGCAGGAAGCCCACTGCTAAGGACCTGTTTACCTGCCGGACCAGTTATCATCCTGAGCAGGATATTTGTGGATTGGGGTTTCAGGGAGCTCTGTCTTTGTAAATTCTTTTGTTAATATGAATCCAAAAGGAGTTCTGTGTTTTGCCTGCAAATATGTATGTTCACCATGTGCTTAGTGCCCATGGAGATTAGAAAGGGTATTGGGTCCCTAGAAGTGGAGTTATAGATGGTTGTCAACAACCATATGGGGGCTGGGAAACAAACTTTGGTCCTCTGTAAGAGCAACAAGTGTCCTTAATTGCTGAGCCATCTCTCCAGCCCCAGCATCATACATTTAAAGAGAACACATGGGAAGACATGGGAATACAATCTTCCTAAGGCTTGTCACTCCAGAAGAACCTGTATGACCACTTATCCATCCCCACACTCTTCCCCACCTCCTCTGTTTCCACTTGATATGTACTTCCGGGGGGGGAGGGGGAGTTAAGCTAAGAGCCAATTAGAGTAATCTCTGGATTTGAGGCAGCTACTTTCCCGTTCATACTGAACAGTACACGGTATAAAGTTAGAGCTCTTTATTCATATATAGTGTAAGGCACAGCACAGCGGAGTGGGAGGGCCACAGTCTCTATCAATCTCCATGATAAAGTCCCTTGCATTTCTATCAGGCAGCTCTTTGCAGCTATGAAACACCTGCCACCTTGGCGAGACACAGCAGCTGGTCTTCACTTCTGGAAGTGTCTGGTGACAGCGTCTAGCAGTTCCTGCTTCTTCGGTCCACTCTTGAGCCCATAGGCTTTGCAGACCTCCTTCAGTGTAGGCACAGTGAGCTTGCCCAGTGTGCCCTTGGCACAATGGGCCTTCAGCTCTTCTTCTGATAACTCCACCTTAAGCTTTTTACTTGCAGAACCTGTATCATCTAGAGAAAAGGCAGGAAGGGACAACCTAGAAATTCTTCCAGTGGTACCCTAGCTACGTGGCACAGGACCGTCCTAGGATGCGGATGCAGCTGACCATCTGCCATCTGATCACCTAGCGCAGCTGCTCATTCTGTGTGGGCCCTATCACTTTTTCTTTTTTTCTGGAACATAGCATAGCAATAGACTGCTTGCCTAATATGCTTAAGGCCCTGGTTTCAATGTCAGCAAATCCAAGGTGGAAGAAAATAAGCATTTAAGTTCTGAGGCACCAGGCAATAAAGACAGGCAGGGCGAGTGACATATTTATTGGTAAAGCAGACAATGTCTGACAGCAACCTCTAGGGAATGACAGGGAGTGAATTCTGAAGCAAAATGGAGCAATCAGAGTGGCCACCGATCTGATCTCTTGCCACTCCTGTCATCATGGGTCTCCTGGGCAACGAGGATTAAATATGGCTTTACTTTGCCAAGGACAGCCAAAAGGATTAAAACCTAAACCAGAACCATTCCAAAATGGTGACAGTGTATCTGGTGTTCTCTACAAATGTGAGCCTCATAGTAAAGGAAATCTGTAAGGAAAATGGTCAGTGCCAGGAGCAGACAACAGAGGGGAGCCAAAGAGACTACACTCCCAACTGGAGAGCTACACGTCAAAGCAGGACATACATTCTCTTTACCATTGTCTTTGTAGAAATTTAGATAATTAGGGGCCAGAGAGATGGCTAAGCAGTTAAGCACTACCTGTTCCTCCAGAGGTCCCAAGTTCAATTCCCAGCACCCACATGGTACCTCACAACTGTCTATAACTGTAGTCCCATGGGATCTGATGCTCTCTTCTGGTGTGCAGATGTACAGATAAAACACCATATAAAACACATAAATAAATCATACAAAATTAGATAATGGGCATAAAGTACAAGATTGTTAAGAGCATAGAAGGCAGTGTGGTGATCCATGCCTATAATCCCAGCACCCAGAAAGTCAAGGTTTCCTGGACTTGAGGGTCAGCCTGAACTACAAACACCCTGTCTCAAAGCAAAATGACTAAAGAACATATAAAAACAGACTCATTTCTTCCTAGATGGAGTATAAATGCCACTTTTTTGGAGGCTGTATATCCCAGGTCTTCCTGTCATTCCTGAGTGCTGGGGCCACAGGCCTGTCCCATCACATCCAGCTTTTGATGCAATTCTTATCACGCGTGTACCGGTGCATGTCTTTGTAGAGGCCAGAGAAGGATGCTGGATGTCATCTATAGCTCTACACCTTATTCCCTTGATATATGGACTTCTCCCTGTCTGCCCCATACTGCCCCACTACCCCCATGTACATAGATTTCTGAAAAGGCTGGGATGAAGCTCAATGATAGCACTTACTTGGAGATGTGAGGTCCTGACTGACCCCTAGTACATTCATCATCCCTCCAGAAATGAAAAGTAAGAAAACCAGTTATGTCTGTGGTAAGACCATAAAGACCATGAGGAAACCTTTGAAAGGAGCATGCCATACATCGAGCTGCAGCCCTCACCTTGTTTTCTCTTGGCAGTTTTGCCCTCGGGGTCATAATCTGGCGGGTAGACAAGTTCTTTAAACTCATCTACCAGGGTACCCAGTCTTTTCTTCATGGCTTCAATCTTGGGCACTAGAAAATCAAAACAACATGGTGCTCACGTGAGTCACAAGCATTCCAGTGACCTGTCCATTCCAGTTCTGAGGGAAACACGAGGGCACTGAGTCAGATGACCATGAAAACAGGGACCAGATCCTTCTGGCATCCTCCATGCATAGCATCCTCAATATTGTGATGGACCATTCTATGACCTCCTTAGATTCCCAAGTCTTGGAAAATGCCAGTTCCTTATTTAAATGGCATAGTACCTTCATATATCCTACACTCTCTCTCTTGTACTTGGAGGGAATTGAGGATATGGTGTTGCAGGAGAATTGTCTGTATTCTGTCAATCATGTTTTAAATAAAAGCTGATTGGCCAGACAGGAAGTAGAGGTCAACCAGACAGGAAGTAGAGGCGGGGTGATGAGAACAGGAGTATTCTGGGAATTAGGAAGTTCCCTCCGCAGTTCTGCCCAGATCACCGAAGAAGCAAGATGTGAGCTGCCCCACTGAGAAAGGTACCGAGCCATGTGGCTAACATAGATAAGAATAATGGGTTGATATAAGTTATAAGAGTTAGTAAGAAGCCTGAGCTAATGGGCCAATCAATTTATATCTAATGCAGACTCTAAATGCGATTCTTTGGAGCTTGCCAGCTGTGGAAACTGGATAGGACAGAAACCCCAACAAGTCAGGCCCTCATGTTACAATACGGGAGTA